ATGTTCCTAAGTAGGAAAAAAGTAAGTGTTAAGGCAGAGGTGAATGTTTGCTGTGTTCAAGTCAAGCCCATTGTGCCAGGAAGTGAATGAAAAAGAAGAGTAGAAGAAAAAGAAGTCAGAAAAGTACAAAGTTAGATCACGTGAGGCCTTGCAGATCATGGGAAGGACTTTGAATCTTATTACATGTGTAAATGGGGAAGCATTTTAAAGTTTTGAGAAGCAGATGGCATAGATTTGAAAACACTTAATCACGGCTGCTATGCAAAGAATCAAGTTGAAGGGAGCAAGTGTGGAAACAAGCAGATCAGTTAGGAGCCTTGCCATATGCTATGTAAGAGATGATGGTGGTTGGATCAATGAATGGTACCAGTGGGACATGGTGAGAAATGATCAGATTTGAGGTATTTTTTAAAAGTAGAGGCAGTATAATTTGTTAGTTGACTGAAGAGAAAGAGCAGAGTCAAGGGTGACTCTAATATTTAGGACCTAAGCAACTAGGTGAGTGGTAGAATCATTTCTTTGGATGAGCAGGTTTCAGGAAAGGAAATTAAGAATTATCTTAGACATTTCATCTGAGATGTTCAGAGTGACACTGGACTTGTTTCCTTCTTTCTGCGTCTTACAAAATTGAAACAGATTTAGTGTCACTTTCAAAATAAGAATGAGTAATTGTCTGAAAATAGATCATGGATAAGGTGAAATTGTCCTAGGTTAGAAATGAAACAATGTGGCATCAATAATCAAGACAGACTTTAGTAAATAATTTAAACTAATTTGGTGACATAGAAGGCTTATTGAATGTTCTTTACTTTACTTTGCTAAATAGCTCTATTTTTTTCCCCTGGGATTTCTCCTGACGAGAGGATTTGCCCTGAGAACTTGCTGAAAATTAAAGGTCTGGTTCATAATAACAAAATTGTTGATGTTGATACCTTTGGGCATATTTCTCAACTCATGTTAACTGGGCACTACCTTTTTTGTAGGCTCTAAGAAGACCTTGTTGGAAATATCATGTGGTATACATCCATCTTTGGGTTATAATATGAATATTTAAACTGGGGCATTGACCAGAGAATTGGCAAAACCTAATATGAAGTAACTTGGACTCATGTAAACACTGAAGTTTTCTGGCTATGTAGTATCATTAGATATCTAAATGAAAAAACAAATCTGGTTTCTAGGTAGACACAAAAAAATAGCTTAATATTTAATAATTACTCATGTAGAGAGCTGGAATGGGACAAGATAAGACATCTTTAAGTAACTCACCTCTAACCTGAGGATGAGCAAACTCCCCTGCTTACTTCATAGTTTTGTTTGTGAAAGCACTTTAAAAATGTACTTTAAAAATGCAAATTGAAGGTAATAATTTTCTGCTGATGTGTAATTATTATACCTAGAATGTTTTTAGGGGAAGAATCTTCAACAAAATTAGGCTTTGCTTCCCTCTCTTTAATGCTGGTATTGACCCATTTGTCTTGCCTTCTCTGTCCTATGATGTCCCACACAATAGAAGTATCTAATTCAGTTCTTTCAGAGAAACTTGCTGGGCCAAGAACCAAATCCCATTACATAGGAACTAGTCCTGGAGAGTTGGGTACAGATCATCTTTTAAAAATTTGGCTGCAGGGACTCCTGGGTGGCTCAGTTGATTAAGCATCTGCCTTTGGTTCAGGTCATGATCCCAGGACCCTGGGATCCAGCCCCACGTTGGGCTCCTTGCTCAGCAGGGAGGCCTGCTTCTCCCTCTGCCCGCTGCTTCCCCTGCTTGTGCTCTCTTTCTCTCTCTCTGTCAAATAAATAAATAAAAATCTTTAAGAAAAAAATAAAGGTGCATTAATTAAAAAAAAAGTTGGCTGCAGAGGGGATGCACTTTGAAGTAAATCCTTCTTCATTGTTATAGTTTTCATCCATTACTATTACAGGGATCACCCCCATCTTAGTTTTATTTCTAGTCTACTTTTGGTGTGAGTGACATTAGTAATTTAATAAGTTAGTATATGTTGCATTATCAGAATAAGGACATGAAATATATGGAAATAAGTCAGTAGCAATATGGAAATAGTGTAAGGTCTAGTCTCTTAATTCCTCTTTCAGTTTGAAAGAGGAAAAACAGCAGATAAAAACAAATAGAGACAAATGCATACATTAGAAGAGAATGTGGAACTAAAGAGGCAGAGCAGAGCTAATACATAGGAGAAACAGTGGGAATCTGTTTAATTAGGGACATTCCTTAAAGGGCAGGAATTAAAGGAAGGAAAAGGTTTTTAGATAATAGGCCAAGGGTGAGTAAGCCATTCTCTTATTATTGTTTTAATTAATTGGTAAAGGTGGGAAGGTAGGAAAGAAAGTAAGGATTTAGTTTGAGTGGGAGAAAAGAGATTGGCTTCTATGAAACATACTTTCATACGTTTTTGAATACAGAACAGGATAAACACGTAGGAAAGTAAAGGATACTGAAGCCAGAGCCCAAAGTTAGTATTTAACCTTGACAGCAAAGAAATTGTGTAAAAGTAAACTCTACAACCTGTAGAAAGGCTAATGAAAGGCCAACAAGAAGACTTCAGGCATCTAGGATGTAAAAAGAGTTTGGTGGTAGTCATAAGAAATGAGGTTTTCTAGCACTCTCAAGATCTCACCATTTGTGGTGAACTTAGCTCTTAAACAGGAAATCAAAAATGAGAAAACGTCGATCTCATTAACTCAAAGATTCATTTTAAATAAGAAAAATAAGAAAACAATAGAACATTTTCATCCCTCTTCAGCCTGTCAATTTTCTTTAGATGATGAAGGATTTGAAAAAGATAACTTCCCAAATTACATTGATATAACATGCTGGCTAGAGTGGGAGAGGAGCAAGTACCCCAAAGAGGCTCCAGATCTGAAGATCTAGTTTTAGTTCAAGTGCTTGGTGGGAAGGCTGTGCTGTGCCCCTCCTGGAGGGTGTAGAGCATTGTGACTCCGAGTGGAGGTCTATGCAACACACAGCCTGTGCAGAGCCTGTCAAGGTGACTCTGGTTATACACGAACTCTGCAAACTCTGGTGACTGCAGGTAAATAGTCACATAAACATTTGTGCCCACCAAAAATGTATTTGCTGAATATATGCTCTTAAATTTTTAAACAGGTTCTTCTGTCTGTACTTGGGTTGTTCCCTTTAAGCAAAAGTGCAATGCCCTAGCAGTTTTAAAAGCTCTTTGTCAAGTATGAAGCACCACAGAAATTTAAGAAAATACTCCATGGTGTTTGATTCTTCTATACCTCCTAAGAGAGGAAAAAAGTTAAGATAATTCTTTCATTATCTGGGTCTTGTTAAAGGTAATAACACCAGGTGACAAGCAATGCCTTTGTCAAATCTCAGTGTCAATGAAGGAAACTACTGTAATTATTCTGGGGTTAGCAGCATCATTCGTCTTGTATTTTCAGGTTAGCAAGCTGAGTTCATTACTCCTATTACATATAAGGAAATACCTGTTGAAAAATTTAGCTGTCACTTTATTTCATTAAAGCCCCTTCACATTGAAATGTGATTTATCAGCTGTCCTGTTTCTTCAAAAATAAACCATCTCTATGAATTCCAAAACCCAGCTTGGATTAAAAACTCATTCAATTTTTGGTGTCCATGAATTGTGGTTCTGAGTCCCTTCCACTGAATGGACTAAGCACACTGTAATAGGAACATATAATAGAGCCTGTATTCTAAATTACAGATCTATAGAACTGGGCTTTAACACATTAGTATGAGTTCCAATAGCATTAGCCATATTCTATAAGTGGGAATAGAGACAAACTTCCAGAATTTGGATAGTGTCCAGCTGTTTGTTTCATAGTCCATTATTACAAGATTCTGTAATGGCTATAATTTTGTCTACTGACAAAGTAAGTATAATGTGCATATATTTCAAATTTCCTGGAATGGCCTTGATTTTAAATATTTTGTTTGTTGTCAAATCATGTGTCAGACAACATATCTTAATTTTTGTTTAAAAATATGTTTATTATAGCTTTAAGTATAGACATTCTCAATTTCCTAGAAAAGGATTATGGATTTTACGTGCACTTAAGAGTTATTATTAAGGAGAGACTGAAAAGTTGTGACAAATTCTTTATTGAGAATTCATTTCATTATTATCAATGTGAAAGTAATTGAACCGTAATTTTTTGAGAAAGAAAACTGGATTTGTTTCTTTCAAACTGACTGACTCAGGATCTTTAACAAGTATGAGTAAAAATCTGTTGATAAAATAGTAAAATTTCTTAACACCACTGCTGTAATGTTTACTTTTGGGGAATGGAAATACAGATTAATCCATGTTCTCTTTTTCTTTGCTTATATGGTTTTTAAAATATAATTCAAGATGTGCATCTAATTACTGCTAATAGTGCAATGTACCAGGCCAAACACTTGCCACTGACTGTCAAGTGTCTTTCTGATGTAGTTGAAGAGAAGAGAGAGAGAGAGAGAGAAAGGAGAAAGAAAGAGCAATGTCCTTTGAGCAAGACTTTTTGCAGCTGTTGTGTGCATTAATCCAGGGAGCAGATCTCCCAACACTAAATATAGCAAGCATATCCTTTTACATGATAAAAAAAATTAAAATGAAAGTCTTTAACTACGGAGTCATATTATTTTAGATTTGATTTCCTTTAAAAAGGAAATAGGCATCGCACACATATTCTCTATACGAACACCATTATTTTAATAAGTGAATGTGTGGAAATACCAATGATGTATGGAACATGTCACAACTTCCTCTGTTGAGGTATTTCTCCTTAGGACCCAAGGAGGCTGTGATCTCTGTGAGTCTCATCAATCCCCTCTGAAACCTTTACATGTAGAAAACTTCATTTTTTCGCAAACTTTTGTGTCCCATCATACATAATTAGGAAGCTATCCTAGGTTTCACTCTAAACAGCAATAACTAGGTCTCTGAAATATCCCTTTTCCCATTGTCAGTGCCCTGTTATCAAAACACACTTGAGAACTTAAATCTGGATATTACCTTTCTTTTTTTAGTTGACCCAGATGAGGATGTCCAACCCAGGCAATCCACTGTGATGACAATTATCCAAGGAGAACTTTTGAGATGAAAGCACAGGAGGAAAAGAAAATTCTTCACGCCCTTGGAAATCGAGAGTAGCCGTCCATAGAGAGTGAGGAGTGAACCTTAGTTTCAGTGAAGATGGCTGTAAGAAGCTGGACAACCTGTCACCACCAGAGCCAGAGCATTTGTCAGCTCACAGGTCCCAAGTTATTTTGAGCTGTATAAACCATGTGCCTGTGAAACATTCCACCTGATTGGACAGGAGAAAACTGAGCAAAGGGATTCCATAGCAGGACAGCACCTATGGGCAGTGGGGGTCAATCAGTTTTCCTACCTATAGAATTTCACTTCTAGCTAGAGGCCCAAGTTGTTTATTGATTTATGTTTGGAATTAATACTAAATTCATGACACCATGTTCCATCTGTCAAAGAAAATGGCATTATTTTTGAAATACATCAGAATTCTTAATTTTTAGGAACTTTAATTTTAATGGAAAATTTATTATCATTTAATCACTGATACATTTTAGGAAATTTGGCTGTGAAAAGCCACATGAAGCTGAGGCCTAACATTTTAAAAGTGGAGAGTTTTGGAACCGTTCATCCAAAGGCTAAGCAAAAGCGGAGAAGATAACTAACATTAAAAGTTGTTAATTAGAGATCACAAAAACAAACAAACAAACAAAAAATGGAGAGGAAAAAACCATCAGCCTGAGAGTAAACCCAGTAACGAATTAGTTTGAACAAACTGCATCAGAAGAAAACCAATCAGATACTGTTTAAAAGTCAAAATGACTATATAACATAATAGATTACAACTCCTATTCTTGTATTAGTATCTGGAATAACATTTTTGTGTATTATTTGAAAAAGTCTATGTCAGATGTCTTCTTTCACAAGCATTACCAATCAATAAAAAAGAATGCTTAACCAAACCATCATCTGCTCAAAAACCTTCTTTGTCAAAGTATAGGTTCTTTGATATTAATTTCATACATTTTCAGAATAGAAATTTGGGGAAAAAGAAGTTAACTCCATTGCTTGGTACAGATTAAGTGTGCTGTAATGTCATTAATCTTGGCAGAAGCCTGCGTTCTGAAAATTCAGGTAAATGTCATTGATTATTTTTTAAAAGTATCATTCTTAGATTTCGATAGCATGAAATACATTGGCTTATAGCTGGCTTCTTAATTAAATCACTCAACGGTTTGTAGGAATTCTTTTCATTCATTCATTCAATAAATATTTACCAAATGCCTACTATGTACCAGGTACTGGGTATAAAGCAGTGTACAAAATATACCAAAATTCTTAACCTTATGGAATTTACTAAGAGCTCTTTTTACCTTTTTTAGGCATCTTGAGACTCCCTATTGTATATTGAATAGATATAACATTTCTTTGTTTATTATGATCACATCAGAGGTTTCACTACTCCCTTCTTATGCAGCTTTGTATTTACACAGGCAAAGTGAAAAAAAAATTGAGGAAAACTTTTAAATAATCCAGGTTAAAATTACTATTACTGAGGAGGGGAAAAGGTACAAAAAGAACTGAATTATGTGGATAGGTTGTTTTTATTACCACGGTAGTCCAGATCTTCAATGACAGATTCCTTTGTTCTCTTACCTAATCCTGTGCTGATACTAACCTCAAGACTACTTATTTGTGTTTATACATTTTCTGTTTATGTGGATACTCCAACAATTTCTTTTTATTTAAAGATAAGATCTTGGAGCGCCTAGGTGGCTCAGTCAGTTAAGCGTCCAACTCTTGATTTTGGCTCAGGTAATGATCTTGGGGTTGTGGAATCTAGCCCTGCACTGGGATCTGTGCTCAGCAGGGAGACTGCTTAAGATTCTCTCTCCCGGGGCGCCTGGGTGGCTCAGTCGTTAAGCGTCTGCCTTCAGCTCAGGTCATGATCCCAGGGTCCTGGGATCGAGCCCCGCATCGGGCTCCCTGCTCGGCGGGAAGCCTGCTTCTCCCTCTCCCACTCCCCCTGCTTGTGTTCCCTCTCTCGCTGTGTCTCTCTCTGTCAAATAAATAAAATCTTTAAAAAAAAAAATTCTCTCTCCCCCTCTCCCTCTGCCCCTCCCACCAAACCTCCCTCTAAAATAAATAAATAAATCTTAAAAGGGAGAAGAAAGCCTTTCTCCCCTTTTCTAAATAAATAAATAAATAAATAAATAAATAAATACATAATCTTCCCCAACTATCCCACTCAGATCTTGAGACCTAATCAATATAACTGCTGCTAGTTCTTCATTAGGGATGTGGGAAAGTGGAACTATTTCAGGTAAAAAGAGATGTGCTACAATTTGATTTTCCAAAGGGAAATGCATATACATGCTGTAAGTGAATACATTTCTACTTCCATACAAACTATGCCATGATAAAACAGTGTACAAAATTTTTTGAACACTGAAAAAAAGCTGGATGTAAATATTAAAATAAATAATATTCAGCAATTGTGGACACCTTGCTTACAATACATCAAACCTGGTATTCTAGATTCTGTTTTTTTAAATTAGTTTTTTCTCCCAAGTAACCCAGCCTCTATCCTGGGTATCATTGTAGTACTTATATAAACATTGTACCACACACCCACTAGTTTAGATTTTACCAGAGTTTATTGATACAAAGAATAATTTTTAAAACTTTAAAAAATATTCCGACATAGTTAAAAAGAAATTTCAGAAGTGACAAGTAAACACAAGGTTACATGTCTTAAGCCTTCCCCATAAAGTTGAGTGGCCCATCCAACACATGTGTTTATTGTGGTTTGACCATGATCCTGTGCTTGCCTTCAGCTGTTTTCTTAATTCAGTCACTCAGCTACAGAAACAATTTACTCACATTGGGATGATCCACAGGAATACTGAGGAACCTGGAAGATCTATGACAGAGGAAGTCTTCACTTGGAGGATAAGCATGCAAGAATTCTGCCCTAGTAGATTCATGTAAAATTTTGTATTTCCTATTTTTCCATATTGCTGTAGATTTTAATTCTTTAAAAGAAATTGTGCACATATACCAAAGTTTCAGTAAGTTTTGCTTAAAGTTCACAGGTTTATATTCACTTACCCCCCTCTAGTAGCAGATGAGAAGAACAAAACCCCCTCTATATCTTATTTTTAAAGAACAGAGACATGTATGTATTTCCTAACATTTGTTAATGAGAAAAATACACCGAAGAAAAGTTCTTGTCCATCCAAAATGATATATGTATGGTGGACTATAGAGTGTCTTATCCAAATCCCATGATACAATGTAATTGAGAAATACAATTAAATCCTTATGAAATTTCTTTTTCATCTAAACGGTATTGAAAATGCTTACCTAAAACTAAAACCAAAAACATTAAAAAAGGTCTAAGCCCAAAACCCATTTAGTTTCAAAAACTAAAAACATTTTTTTAAACTATACACAGAACACCTATTTTTAAAACATTATCCTGAGAAGTAAATTTGTGGTTACCTGTGGGAGAAGCACCATTCCTATATCAATCAACCAGGATCATCCAAAGCCCAAATCTCACTGCCTAACTTGTGTCAGCCACAGAAGTATCATGAAGGAAATATGATACTACCCCGCCAGAGTAATGAAGGGTATTTACAGGGTTCCGTGGCAGATCCAGGGACAGTCATTTAGAACAGATTGCTCTTTCAGATCAACTTTAATAACTCAGTCTGCACGATGTTCTTAGCCTGGAGGGATGGTGGGGGTGGATAATGACAAAGATGACTAAGGAAAGACTTTTCTTGATCTTTCCTTAGATAAAAAGGATAATAAAGATGGAATTTTAAAGAATAAAGTAGAAGAATGGGCAAAATATCTATACACAGGATGCAGATGACATGTGTAAATACCTTTATTTGATATAAAATTAAGAATATGGTCAATACATTTATTAAAGTGAATATGGGAAAACAATTATTATAATACTCGATGTGTGTTCCTCTAATTTTAGGGTAATTAGATTAAAGCTTTACTACGTGGTTTTCATGAAGACACGATAGGTCTTTCTTCATTTTTAAAAAGATTTTTCATTTATTTACTTTTGTGCATGAGAGAGAGAGAGAGAGATAGAGAGCGTGAGCATGCACAAGCTGGGGTGAGGGGCAGAGGGAGAAGCAGGCTCCCCGCTGAGCATGGAGCCTGATGTGGGGGGCTCGATCCCAGGACCCTGAGATCATGACCTGAGCTGAAGGCAGATGCTTAACCGACTGAGCCACCGAGGCACCCAACACAATAGGACTTTCTTTACTTGTACTTTTGATATGGAGAACATATCAATGTTTACACTTTTTAGAAAGTATTATTCCAGGGCGCCTGGGTGGCTCAGTTGGTTGAGTGGCTGCCTTCGGCTCAGGTCATGATCCTGGTCTCTGAAGTACGTATTGTTAGAATTCTACAGATGAGAACCTGAGGCTTAGAGGTTAAAATCTGCCCAAGGCCTCATAAGTGAGTGACTGAGCCAGGATTAAACATAAGGTTAACGCTAAGTCTGTGCTCATAACCACTGCAAATATTTAAATGTTCACATTTCTAAGGTATTTGCAAAAAAATTTAAGGATAAAAATGAACAAAAAACATACTCTCTTTTAGTGAGTATTTTAGAGGAATGCTATATAGAATTTTAAGTTTATAATTTTTCTGACTGAAACCAGCTCTGAGGTGTTTTGGATGACTAAACAAACAAAAAGAAGAGAAAATACAGAAGGAAAAAGGCAAATGTTTTCAGATACATTATCTTCAATATTTTAGCTGAGAATATGAATTGTTATGTACAATGAAACATTGGGTAGTGATTTTGAAAGGTAGGGCATTGGAAGACAGTCTGAATGCTTTGACAGACCTATTTTTTTGTTTCTATTTATGATAGTCATTTTGCTGAGAAAATTTAACAGCTTTGCTCTTTTGAAAGTAGATTTAAATGCTCTGGTATTACTTCTCAGCACATCAATATGGGTCAATAAATATTTTGCAAGTTAGGGATAGGAAAACAGCAGTTGAAATATTCTCTCTTAATAACGTTAGCACTGAATATATTAAATGCCAGTATGCTAGGCTCTGGGTGATTCCACTCAGATTCTATTTTTGGGTAGCACCAACATCTCAGAAAGCCAAAAACAAAGTTCAGTGTTCTTACCCATGACCCAGATAATCGCATTAACACTAATGATATGAAGGAAAGGAAATGGGAATTAACATTTCTTCCGAGTGTACTCTAAGCCAGGAGTAGCCTAAGTTATCTCTTATTTAATACTCAGATCAACTCTACAAGGTATTGTTACTTGCAAGTTACAAGGAGGAAACTGAGTCTTAAAGAAGTTTAGTTTTCCCAAAGTTACCCAACCAGTGAGCTGCACAGCTGGGTGAATTCAAATCTAGGCACTTTAGTTTAAAACAAATTCTCTTTTAAAGACAGATACCATATGATTTCAC